TGTTATAAATAAAGGAAAAATTCAGGTATATGACAAAATTAGCCCCAACCCTATACACCCAATTCTTAATTGTAACCCCAATTTAATCGATTTTAGCCACAAAAATCCAATTTTGATTTTTTTTCAAAAACTTTTTTTTTCAAAAAATATTTTTTTGCCGCCGGACTCTGGCGTTGACTTTTCGAATTTTTTATCTTTTTCTGTTCTGTTTTTTCCGCCGCTGGATTCCGGCGTTGATTTTTTTTTTTCTTCTCTGGTCTGTAATTTCCGCCGCCGGATTCCGGCGTTGATTTTTTTTAGTGTTTTTTTTCGTCCGCCGCTAAACGTTGACGTAATTGTGTTATTATTAACGATAATTATACTATCACTGACAGTAAATTAATGTAAGTATAATGTCACTGACAGTACATTAACGTAATTGCACTGCCGTTGACAATACATTTATGTAATTGTACTGCCGTTGATAGTAAGTAAATTAACGTAATATTATTTTTTTTTGTTTTTTTTTTTTAATTTTGTTTGATTTGTTGACAAGTCAACGTAATTATATTACTGTCGTTGACAGTAAAATAACTGTAAACACAATAATATTACTGTCAACCGCATCAATATTATTATTTTTTTGCGTTTTTGTTTTGTTTTGTTTGAGTTATTCAGGGAGTAACGTAATAATATTACTGTCTATTATTGTAATATTATTGTAAACACAATAATATTATTGTGGTTGACGGTTATATTACTGTTGTTATAGTAATATTACTGTCAACCACATCAATATTATTATTTTTTTGGGTTTTTTTTTTGGTTTTGTTTGAGTTATTCACGGAGTAACGTAATAATATTACTGTCTATTATTGTAGTATTACTGTGGTTGACGGTAATATTACTTGTTATAGTAATATTACTGTCACTCACAGTTATATTAATTCTTTTGGCTTTTTATTATGTTTACATTTGTTGAACGGTCAAAATATTAATATTACTCTATTACACAATAATATTGAATTATGTTATGTTAATATTACTGTGCTAGATATTAATTTAGCAATATTACTGTGTTAAACTGTAGTATAATTAATTTTAATGTGTTTAATAGTAATACAGTTAATGTTACTGTCAACCACAACAATATTGTTGTTTAAACGGGAAAAAAAAGATGTTAAAAGAAAAAAAAATTTTTGAAAAAAAAGAGTCAAAATTGGCTTTTTGCGGTCAAAATTGGATTTTTGTGGACAAAATTGATTAAATTGGGGTTACAATTAAGAATTGAGTATAAATGGTCGGGGGTAATATTGGTATATACATGAATGTTTCCTTTATTTATAATAAATATTAAAGGGATGAGCTTATTGGTGAAAGAGATATAGCCCCTGAACCTAGAATAATAAAGATGCTTGGTTGGTGACTTATGCACAAAAACCCATAAAAATTAAAGATGTTTGGTTAGGGACTTATGCACAAAAATCCCTATATATTATTAATTATATACATATCGATATAGATAAAAGATAGGGTAAATTACACCCACACCCCTGAGGTATGCTTAAATAATTTTAAGGTCCCTATGGTATCGATAATTACACTCACCCCTTGAAACGTAGTTAGAAACTCTAACGGGATAATGCATTGGGTACATTATTCCGATATGAATCTAATGGACTATTACTTTTAGCTAGTGGTGGAGATAACATAGAGTTATGCGGAGTTATGTGGTGACATGGCTCCCCCAATATTTCTTAAATCACCCATAACTCTTTGTTGTCTCCACCACTTCCTGAAACCAATAGTCCGTTAGAACTCTATCGTAATAACGTATCCAATGCATTATCCCAATAGAGTTTATAACCACGTTTCAAGGGGATGAGTGTAATTATCGATACCACAGAGAATTTAAAGTTATTTAAGCATACATCAGGGGTGTGAGTGTAATTTACCCTAAAAGATATTTTGAGTATCAAATTGGTACTACACATCCATACTCATTTAGCAGCAAAGCCCAATCTGAGTTGAACTGAGGCCCAAAGTGAAGTTACGAATAAAATAATCGTGTACTAGAGAGAATTGATATTCAAATTCAAATTCGAATTTGTCCTATTATCGTAAATATCCACTGATCCATGCCCTATTCTGAAAAACCCACAATATAAACCCCTGTATAAATCCCTCGCTTCTCCACTCCGCCACTCAACTCAAAAATTCAAGTTCACTTTCTCTCTCTCTCACTCAGCGATAATAATATAGTGAGTGAGTGTACGATGTCGCTGAGACCTAACGCTCGCTTGGAGGTCCGCCGCAACAGGTATAAGGTGGCGGTGGACGCCGATGAGGGCCGCCGCCGGAGGGAGGATAACATGGTTGAGATTCGCAAGAACCGCCGCGAAGAGAGCCTTCAGAAGAAGCGCCGTGAGGGCATCAATCAGTTCGCCGTCCCCGTCGAAGCCACCACCGGCATCGAGAAAAAGGTATACACCCATGACTTTTTCTCTTTCTTTTTTTGGGCATTTTGTTTTTACTTTTGGAATTGAATTGAAACTAGGGTTTATGCTCTCTTAATTGATTGTACGGACTCCTCATAGCTGAGATTTGAATTTTTCTGTTACATATATAATCGATTTGGTGTTGGTCTTTGTTTTAATTTAATTAAATTTTGATTGATTGTTATTCTTCACACCAATTAACGTAAATCTTACGGTTTGTGTAAATTTAGAAGATATTCTTTCTGTTGCATATTACAGGTGCAGTTAGAATATCTACCGACAATGGTTACAAGTGTTTGGACTGATGAACCAAGTAGACAGCTCGAGGCGACCACCCAATTTCGTAAATTACTTTCTATAGGTAAATTATTGTGTTCTAATTGATTCAATTCTCAAAAAAAAAAAAAAAAATTATTTTCACATTTTTAGTTATTGAATATCATTTGTATATGTCCTAAAATTGTTTTTTTTTTTTTTTTTCTTTCCAGAACGTAGCCCTCCAATTCAGGAGGTAATTCAATCCGGTGTAGTTCCCCGGTTTATCGAGTTTTTGACAAGGGAAGACTTCCCACAACTTCAGGTCCAACATTCAAACCTTATATTATATAATTCAAAGTGTACTAATGTCGATTCATATTATTTAATCTTTTACCGTTTTATATTTTTTATCGAAAATAATTTTCAGTTCGAGGCAGCTTGGGCTCTCACAAATATTGCATCTGGGACCTCCGAGCACACTAAGGTTGTAATTGATCATGGAGCTGTTCCAATCTTTGTTAAGCTTCTTGCTTCTCCAAGTGACGATGTTCGCGAACAGGTATACAACTATGAGTTACTTTTTTTTTGTTATTTTTTTTTTTTGGGTTTTTTTTTTTTGTTTTTTTTTTTTGGGTTTTTTTTTGTCTCGTAAACATTTTAAATTTTTTCTGTATAAAATTTTGATGTATACAATTTAGGCTGTATGGGCGTTGGGAAATGTAGCTGGTGATTCCCCAAAATGTCGAGACCTTGTACTTGGTCATGGGGCGTTGGGTCCTTTACTTAGTCAGCTAAACGAACATGCCAAGTTATCTATGCTCAGAAATGCTACCTGGACTCTATCAAATTTTTGTAGGGGCAAGCCGCAGCCTATGTTCGAACAGGTTTGACTTTCAAAGCTTCGTTTGGCTCCTCTAATTCATCTCTTTGGATGACTGGATCGAACATATACATCATGTAGTTCTTTTTTAATTGATTTATACTTGTGTTTTTGTGACATTGGTATCTTTGTTAATGTACAGACAAGGCCTGCGCTTCCGATTCTTCGACAGCTTTTACATTCGAGTGATGAAGAAGTTTTGACTGATGCATGTTGGGCTCTCTCCTATCTCTCTGATGGAACCAATGATAAAATCCAAGCTGTGATTGACTCTGAAGTATGCCCCCGCTTGGTCGAGTTATTACTGTGAGTATCTACATCTATATCTTTTATAGATAAGTAAGTTTGGGATTTGTTCTTTCTTACGTATATCTGATGAATGGATAACCGGCATTTCAGTCATCCATCACCTTCTGTACTTATCCCTGCCCTTCGGACAGTTGGAAACATTGTCACTGGAGATGATTTACAAACTCAGGTACGATTAGTGGTTTTTTTTATCATTCATTGTCTGTTGTTTCACTAGTAAAAGGGTTAAGTTAACCAGCAAGAAAACAAAATGATTTGAAAGTTAGCATATACCATAGTTATGCGGATTTACATCGATTTACTCATTTTTACGATTAAGCATAAACAGATGAATATGCATTAACAAACATCACTATTAGGAAGGCATAATGTGAAATACCTTTTTATGATTTGGTCTTTTTGTTAACCTCAAGATAGAAAAGGGTTTTTTGAAAGCGTTTCTAGTTGAGTTGGTCGACATTTTTTATCGTAAATAATTCTTAACTGCACTTGAATATAACAATAACTGAATACATTTAGGTAATTTCGATCCATTTTTCTGTTGGTAGTCGTTTGTTAACTTTTATAAAATACACATGTGACCTTTATTTTATAAATAAGATGATAAAAATTCTTTAATTCTTATTATATTCATTTTATTTCACTTACACACCACAGCCAAAAGATGATGAAATTATTTATCTGAATCATGTACAATTTGATATTTCTACCCACCGAAGTTTTAGCTCTTGAGAATATATCCATGGCTGACAAATTGATATATCTTCTCCAGTACATCATCAGCTACAATGCGCTACCCTGTCTTCTAAACCTCTTGACCGGTGGTCATAAGAAAAGCATCAAAAAGGAATCTTGCTGGACTATCTCCAACATCACAGCTGGAAATAGGGACCAAATTCAGGTAAACTTGGCTACTATTTCTTGCTAACAGTTTGGGTTTCGTTATTACCGAATAACTAACATGTCAATCGTGTGTGTGCAGTCTGTCATCGAGGCCAACATTATTGGTCCGCTAATCCAGTTGCTTCAAAACGCTGAATTTGATGTAAAAAAGGAGGCTGCATGGGCAATATCAAACGCAACATCTGGTGGCACTCACGAACAAATTAAGTCAGTTAATTTAATAATTTTTGCTAGATGAATTTTTTCGTTTTTTTTTTCAATTGTGGAGAACACTGTCATTAATTGATGGTGACGTGTGTGTGCAGGTACCTTGTGAGCCAACAGTGTATTAAGCCTCTATGTGATTTGCTTGTGTGCCCCGACCCAAGAATCGTGACGGTCTGTTTGGAAGGGCTGGAAAACATTCTGAAGGTAGGTGAGGCCGAGAAGAATTTGGGCAAGACTGGAGATGTCAATCTCTATGCACAAATGATAGACGATGCCGAGGGCCTTGAGAAAATAGAGAACCTGCAGAGTCACGACAATAATGAAATTTACGAAAAGGCTGTCAAAATTCTCGAGACTTACTGGTTGGAGGAAGACGATGAGCCAGCGCCACCTGGCGATGCTGCTGCACAGCAAGGCTTCCAATTTGGAGGCAGTGACGTGTCCCTCCCCTCTGGTGGCTTCAGCTTCAATTGATTTTTTTTTTTGCTTGTTATTTTAGGTATCTAAACGGCAAATGACTTTTTTTTTTTATCTTGGAGGGGTGACGATGGTAATTAATTTATCAAATTGTAGTGGGAATGGCTATCTATCTGATTTCCCAATTTTCTTTTAAGTAAATTTGTTTTCCCCATCCCAATTTTTGGCTCTCCCCAAAAAAAATTGTTACATGGCTTTGTTCTTGTTTGTTTCTGTTGGCTATTCTATTTTTGTTGATCCAAACTCTGATTTGAAACATATGTCAGTTTGAAATTTTATGTGATCATCAGTTTCTCAGTTTTGTTGTACACATTTATTCTCAGTTTTTTTCCTGTGTTGAATCATCTATTTCTTATTATATATACAAGTTGCCTGACCCCCTCCACCACCAGATTAACCTCTTTCGCCTCTATACTCAGTGCATCCTTCCTAGCAGACTTCCCC